GTATTCCAATTAAAACTTCGAATGCTTATATTAATATTAAACTTTCTTTGAATCATTAGATTAAAAATAAAAAAATCATATCAAAGGCTGCATTACATTAGTACATTTTATTTTTATAATAATATTTAATTAGATCTTTTCATGAAGGTTTACAAATTTTTAAAAGTCATACAAATTATTATAGTGATTGAAACAATTTTAATTATATTTATTTATGTAAATATTTTAATGATACCTTTTATACATAAATGAATTCGTTAACAATAATGAAAAATGTTCTTACTAAGTATTTATATACAGGGTGGTCGACTTAACTTGAGCACCTTAAATGAATTTCGCTTATTATTGATAAGGACCAGAAAATAAATGTCAAATAAAATGTCTTTTTTTGCTCATGATTTTTAAGACTTTAAGGTCATCAGTGTTTTTTAAATGGGACTGTATTTATGGTATTTTTAACACTGTCGCTTGACATTGAAAGTCAAGACTAATAATAAAACTAAGGGTAAATACTTTAAGCTTCTCAGTTAATTCTATTGCTAATCACTGTAAGCATTAGTGTAAATGAATTGCACTGTAATTAAAATATAATATAACTGAATTATAGTGTCCTTCGTGTGACCTACAGTTTCCCATTTTAACTCTACTAATTGTAACAAGACTTCTTCATGAAAGCGTAACAATATAATACAAATGCACGAAATACATGAAAAATTTGTAATTAATTTCTGTTAGTACAATTTATCTTTGCATAGCACGTACTTGTTCTGTAACTTCTTCTAAAATTACAGAACTCCTACCAAGAGATTCCATTTGATATTCTAAATGCGTGACTATGAGAGAAAGTTTCTTTAAATTCGTTTCTGCAATTTCTAAACCATGTTCCTGTTGCGCAAAACTTTTTGCACTGTGCATCAATATCTGCAAATAGATTTTTTTATTAGAAATGGAGTTAATTTCAATCGTGTGTAAATTATGGAACATTTCTATGGGACATTACATCGCTGCTTTTAGAACCTCTCTGTATTTGTCTTGCAAGAGAAGCAATATTATTTACATTAACTTGAACCCTGTCAGCCAGCCTCATTTTTGATTCGACAAATAAACTGCGAGCACTGGTACTTGAAGCTGACGCCATGCTGTTCAAAAGTCATTTAAATTAAAAATGTTTATTTTGAATAGCTGAAACATTAATAATAAATTTTTCAAATTTAAAGTACTTTTATATTAAAAGTTGGATAGAATGTGTGTACAATTTTTTATTTCTTATAACCGATCTCTAATGAACGATGTAAATACACAAATTAATATTTCAACATAAATAGAACCGCTAGTATTAATTGTTAATACTTTTTTTAAAGCGAATATTCATCTATGCCAAATGTCGAATATCGAATGATAACCGAATATGTTGACAGAGGACAGTAGCGCCTCTTGTGGCGGAATCAAGTAGCTTCGTTCAGGGTCCGTACAGCGCCAATTAGTGAATGGCAAAACGCTGAAACTGCTAGCCAAACAGTGGCGCCTCTTGTGATGAGATCTGGAAGCTCTGTTCAGGGTCCGTACAGCGCCAATTAGTAAATGGCAAAACGCTGAAACTATTAGCCAAACAGAAAACTTCGAACACTTATCGCCAGATGACACTAATAGCAAATTCGAGGAATTTAACTTCTGCGACATCTTAACGATCAACCTGTAAGTGCATGTCAATAATTTCGGCTAATAGTTTGAGCGTTTTCGCACTGCAAAAATTGGCGCTATTCGGACATTTAAATGTAGCAGGAAATTCGTGCCGGATTAAACTGCTATCTATTTTTCATACCTTAGCTAAAACAATACTTTAACACTTTAAATAAAGGAACATTGCATTGTTATCTATCTGTCCTTGTCGCTCACTATTGTATCCTTGTCTTGCACATGGTAGAGATAGGTAAAATTAGTTCACAGAGTGGCCGCACTAGATGGCGCCGTCATCGCGATAATTTTCTCAATTGTATTTTCACATGTTGACGAGATGCTGTAGAACATAACCTAACTTAGACTATGATGACCAGAGTAAATATGTTCCACTATTCATACATCTTTTACATTTTATTTTTTATCATTCTTAACAATCACAAATTACAACAATTTTTCTATTTCGAAAGAATTTCAACTTATTCGAGAATTTTTCAGGTCTTATGAATCTCAAGCCTAACCTAAAAACAACTTATGTAATTAAAACTCTGAAAAGATGCCTGCCCCATGCGAAGATATTGTCGGAGACATAGAGGATCTAATATCCTCGCAGGACATTACACCAAAAGACCGTTATAGCTCGAGAAAGACAATAACAGTCCGTTCAAAAAAAAAACAATCCGTTGAAGAACTACCACAACCTCTAATATTGAACAGTGTTGTACCAGGAACACAGACAATCTACATAAAAACTTGGGGATGCACTCACAATAGCTCTGACAGCGAGTACATAGCTGGTCAACTATCTGCTTATGGTTACAAGTTAACAGAGAACAAAAATATAGCTGACTTATGGCTGCTAAACTCGTGTACTGTAAAATCTCCTGCGGAGGATCACTTCAGGAACGAGATAGAAGCAGGCAGAAAACTTGGGAAGCACGTTGTTGTAGCCGGGTATGCAATGATTTAATCAAAGCAATTGTTTTAATCATTGTTAATTTACATTAATTATGATACATTTTAGATGCGTGCCACAGGGAGCCCCGAAATCGTCCTTCCTTCAAGGTTTGAGCATGATCGGTGTACAGCAGATCGACAGAGTAGTAGAAGTTGTTGAAGAAACTTTAAAAGGCAACACAGTTCGGTTTCTGCAACAGAAGAAGGAGTCTGGCAAAAAGAAGGGTGGTGCCTCACTAAGTTTGCCTAAAGTGCGCAGGAATCCATTGATAGAAATCATAGCAATCAACACGGGATGCCTAAATCAGTGCACTTATTGCAAAACAAAGCATGCAAGAGGTGAACTGGGAAGTTATCCACCAGAGGAAATTGTTGAGAGAGCGAAACAAGCTTTTGAAGAAGGGGTCTGCGAGCTGTGGTTGACTTCTGAGGACACAGGGACCTACGGTAGAGACATTGGCACCAGCTTGCCAGAATTATTATGGAAACTTGTCGAAGTTGTACCTGATGGGTGCATGATTCGCGTCGGAATGACAAATCCACCATATATAATGGAACATTTAGAGGAAATGAGCAAAATTCTGAGTCATCCAAAGGTGTACAGTTTTTTGCATATCCCGGTGCAATCTGGCAGCGATCAAGTGTTGTCCGATATGAAAAGAGAGTACACAAAGGATGACTTTGAGCATGTCGTCAATTTTCTTAGGAAACGTGTTCCAGGTTTAACAATTGCTACTGATATCATTTGTGGTTTTCCCACAGAGACAGAGGAAGATTTTGAGGAAACAATGAAGCTCTGTGAACAGTATAAATTCCCAAGTTTATTTATCAACCAGTTTTTCCCCAGACCTGGCACTCCAGCTGCCAGGATGCCAAACGTTCCAACACAGCAAGTGAAAAAGAGAACGAAAAGGCTGTCCGAATTTTTCCAGTCGTATTCTCCTTATGACAATAGGGTAGGACTGGTCCAAGACATCCTGGTTACCGAGCTATCACACGATAAGAAGCACTATGTTGGACATAATAAATTTTACGAACAGATTTTGGTGCCTTTGAGGGAGGAATTTTTTGGAAAAATGGTCAAAGTGAAAATTGTAGAAACGACAAAGTATTCTATGAAAGGGGAGCCTATAAGTGAAGGGAAATCTCCATCCTTGAGACAATTTTCACCTTTGAAAACTGTTTCTGAAGTCCCTTTGGAGATGAAACCATCAAGACTTAGGATCATTGCAGTGCTAGTGATTTTTCTCGCTGTGATCTTGAGGATTTTATGGAAGTTTATGATGGTTTGATTAATGTAACACAAGTTGCAAATAAATACAACATTTTTCTATTCAGAAAAAATTATTTTGAGTTCAAAAATCTTTTGATAGCTTGTTTTCTGTTGAATATTTTCGTAATGGAAGAAGGCGGTTCGTAAAAGTAGACAATTGTAAATAATTAATCAAGAATATTTTAATTGACAAAATGCAGGAACCTGCCCCAGGAGGGCTTACAAAATTTTATTAATATAATTTAACGCGTACAAAACTAACTTAAATCGCTCGGTTAATTAATAAGGAATTATAATAATACAAAAGAGAACTACAAAATAATACAAAAGAACACTTAGAAACTAGTGAGATATTTT